TTCGTTCTCAATTCGAGGAGTTCAAAGTGCTCTGGCAGAAACGCAAGGCGTGTAGCAACTTAAAAACAACGTGCAAAAAGCTTCATTCTCATTAAACACAATTACAAAAAGACGCCTCCACATGCTAAAATGATTTCTGCATGATTGGAGTCTTAGCCTGTTTTGCTGCAGCCAGCTGCAGCGCTTGATAATATTGGATCTATTTCTAAAGTTGAAAGAATGGTAAAATAGGGCACGGTTTAAAAAATATTAGTGACCCTTTAATGAAAAATATAGTCCTCTGCTCAACATGAGCTGCTAACCATCACTCTGTGGTTAGGAAGCAAAATTTGTTATAATCATTTCTCCGTCTCTGTCCACGTCTCAGAAACCTCACTCTCACTCTTCTTCAGAGTCACTTTATCTGCGGAGTTGAAAACATTTTTCCTTTAAAGCCGTTTAGCAGCTAAGAGGCCGGGGGAATGTGTGAGGGTCTGTTAAAGGTCAACAAGCATTACAGCAGAGAGGATCTTTACCAGTTCATCTGGACAATGTCAAAGCAGCACTTTACCGTCTCGCTCGGCCGCTCTGTCTTAATCTCACGCAGCTATACTGAGTCTGTGTGGCACTATAGGGGAGCCTAATACAAGCTCTCTGTCACAACGTCACGTTACGGTCTTGGACCAGGATGGGCTCCAGACCACCACAAGTGAGCGCAGACGTTGAGAAGTCTGGAAATAGAAGTCACTGTTAAAGGTTATAAAACACAGTGGAGCTCAATGTGTTCCCTGCTGTTCTTTCTTTTTTTATTTCTCCAGAGCAGAAGCCTTCGCTCGCCTCACGCATTGCGACACACACCCTGTCCAAGTAAACACACAGCCTGTATCCCCAAAGGGAGAGGAGTGAGGGGTGGGGGGTGGGGGGTGGGGTGCAGCCGTATCAACGCACAAGGAATTCAATTAAGCAGACAGCAGGATGTCTCCGAAACCCCAGCCTCCTTTGAGCTCAATATGCCCTCCAACAGTCCCCCACCACTCCACCCCCCAGCTTCCCAGCCAACCCCTTACCGCCATTCAGCCACTCCCCCCACACTGCCGAGATCCATTGAGGGCCCTTTCCTGGGCCCCCTTTCATACACTCCTCTCCCACTGCCTCCTTTGCCTCTGAGAGACAGATTTTTAAATCTGCCAAGGAGGTGAAAAAAAAATTAAAAACTGACTGAAAATGTTTGAAACAGAAGCCTCAAGCTCGACCAACTGGTCGCTTTTACTCTTGGGGCACCAAACACATTCATCCTCCTCCTCCTCTTCCTCTTCCTCTTCTTCCTCCCGTCTGTGTGCGTCTGGCAACCGGACAGATGCTGTTCATTTAGCACTTGAGCGGCAATCCTCGAGCTTGTCTCCTAAATGCCCAGGGGGAGACACTGGCATTTGGACAGCATTAAATAAAGCCACTCTGCAGACCTCACACCGCGGCCACATCTGACCTCACAACATGGTCACTCCACTCAGATTTCAAGCAGCCAATCGAGTAAATCTGTGCCGGTGAGGAGTTTCCTTACAAGTGTTGACCTGCGAGTGATTATATTTGTATTTAATGTGAGGATTATACACTGAGAGGAGTGATTAAACACTTCAGTGTACAGTACAGTCGTCCAATTTATGTAACAGCAGATTAGGATCAATGCTGCTGTTGCTGTTTTTATCGATTGACATCTTCTTCAGCGTCAACAGCTGCTCTGTTTATTTATTTCCGCACAGAGGTGTTTGCAATTAAAAAGCCAGAAAGATCTGTGATGCTCGGCTTTGTTAAGCGCAAGATAGCATCAATCTCATTATCAATGCATTGGTTTGAACAATAAAATAATTCTCCAGAGTGAAGCGGGTCTTTCCCATGCTGGCGTGTCACTGTGTGTGTGTGTGTTATTGTCAATGATGAGCACACACAGCCTCAGGGCCGCACAATGTCACACACATCAGGCGAAACAGCGGCTTAGAGGGAGTGAGGTGCTGGGCCGCTGCAGACACAATATTGATGTTACGTAACGACAGCCAAACACCGCCCAAATTGCATGTGTTGGCGTGTGAGTGTTTCCGGATTAGAGGGCTACCTCGGTCCTCGCTCATGCATCCTTTTGGATTTGCTACCTTCACGGTTTTCACGGCCCACAATGTGCGGGAATGTCCGACAGATAACATGTGACCTGTGTGGAGCTGTTTGCTTTGATATTCCTACACGGCCCCGTCCTTGTTCATCAGGCGGGGGAGAAAAATAAGTTTCAACTGGTTAGGGGATTTTTTTTTCCCCTCTCCCATGAAACAGAATTTGTTCCCCTTGCCAAACAGATCATGGCGAGTTATCAGCCCATGTGCTAGCTAAACGAGGCTTAGTGTCCTCCTGTTCCATCAGGGCATTTTCATCCCGGCTTGAAGCTTTCAGCCGTGTATTTAGGTCTTAACACAGGGACATTGATTTCTGGTCCCATGCCATGCATTTCAAACGGGCCCTAAGCAGACATGAGTGCTCTCCTACAACCAAAAAGGCAACAATGATAATCAGCGAACGACCCCAAAACGAAAAAAAAAAATCAATTTGCCCGAGCTCCCCGCCCCCTTTAAAAGCCATTAACATAAGTCCTCCTCCTTAAGGACCACGAGTGCAGTGACCTAAATCAGCGCAGATTCAAATGATGGGGTAGCACAGGACTGAAAAGGCCACTTAAGGATAGTGTGTGTGTGCATATGTGTGTGTCATAATCACCCCAATCAAGACTTTACAGTGAGGTTAAGCCAAGACCCCCCCATGTTAATCCTTCACAGCAATTTTGATCAGCATATGGTGTCAGCGCAATCACATGCAACACACCCTGACTGTGGTATCTACGAGAGGTGGGACCAAGGAATACAGATGGAGGAGGTCATACGTGTCCTCTGAGAGCTCAACCACACAGAAGTACAATAAAACCAGTGGTGTTGAGGAGGGTAAACTCAGGTATACCCGTCTGTTTACAACCTATTAGTATCCATTACGATACTATAATTACAAGACATGTCAAAAAGGCAACAACTTGTTTCTTGGAGATCTTTTTAAGTCAGGGGCGACTTTTGGCCACAAGGATTAAAACACTGCCGAATCAAATGGGATTGTGAGCCAAGTTCTCAAGCCCGTTGTAGACAGGAGGTTCCAGACGTAAAAGTGGATTCATTCACACCCGGTGACCAAAAATTCAATGTCAGGACAACGTCTAATGTCAACGTCAGTAACGTCAGTGGTGTAGAATACTAGTGACAGATGACGTTGATGTTTTGTTGTTGTTTAGTGATCAAAACCCAACGTCTTCCAAACGTCTCACGCCAAAGTCTTCTTGACGTCAGAGGCAGGCTACACCCTGGACAGGTCACCAGACTATCACAGGGCTGACACATAGACACAGACAACCATTCACACTCACATTCACACCTACGGACAATTTAGAGTCACCAATTAACCTGCATGTCTTTGGACTGTGGGAGGAAGCTGGAGCACCTGGAGGAAACCCACGCTGACACTGGCAGAACATGCAAACTCCACACAGAAGGGCTCCCACACCCTGGGGTTCAGACGAAGAACTCCTTTCCTATGATGCCACAATGCTAACCACTGCACCACCATGCCACCCCTAATTTTCTGTCCAACCAAAATTTTACATCTGTCCAATGTGTGAGTCCAGAGTCTTTCTGACATCATTTAGACTTTCGCTGCCAGACTCAGGGCATGTTCGCAACATCAATACACATCAACGAAAAGCGGACTCAGTTGTACTGTAAGTGTCTTACAACAGTATGGAAAGGATCCCTACAGAGATAGACCTTTTGGTTAAAGAGTAAGATCCTTTTTGGTAAACCAGAAACAGCCCTGAAATCGCCATCACCAAACTCAACAGACTCCATTTAGAAAAACAGTAATTCTATAATCAGAAAACACACTTCATCCAAAGTCGACAGAAACAAAAAAGAACTCACAAAAACCATCTTCAATTGTCTTTCCACTGTTCCAACAATCACTAACTATGGTTGGGTTGAAATAAACCCTTAATTCACCCAGTTAGATGTGAAAACATGCTGCGTCTATACACGCTTAAATTACCGTTTATTCAAATGGAGTCTGGTGGATTTGGTGATGGGGATTTTGGGGCTGTTTTTGTTCACCCCAGTCTCACTCTTAAGTCGGTGAAATCCGGCATTTGGGCAGTGGCTTGTGGTGTCAGACACTGACGAAGAAAGCCGTCCTTTAACGTCGGCGTGATACGTGGCCGAGCGCCGTTATAGTTTGACGGTGCTCGGAGGTGTAAGGGGGAAACATGGCGGGACAAGAACAAAAGTTAAGGCAGCGAATGAAAGTTCGAGTAGGGATGGTGGGAGGGGTGGTGGACGGATCCAGATATGATGTGAAAGGTACCCTGTGTTTGTTGGATGTTGACGTTCTGGGACACCGTGTCAAGTTATGCCTGTTACATGCATTTATTTTGAAAGAGACTGTATGTAAACGTTAAATTTCCTGTGAAAACAGACGTGTATTTTGAAAGAAGACAATGCATGTAACAGGCTGAAGGTGACACAGCATCCCAGTATGTCAAGAACCAACACACCCAGGGTACCTTGTACGTCAAATCTGGACGTGGAAGGTTCACGACCAAACGTCGATATGAGACGAGGTCGGCGTGAGAATGTGTCGTTCTGGGATACTTCCATAATGTTGTCAGACACTTAAACACACAGTCTGAGCCTGTCAGTGACCAAAATTAGCTTTTTTAGTGGACATAAATGAACGGTGCGTGATTGCCCTGTGTGGTTACACTGCGGCCTGTGTGGCTCTCTGCTCAATAGCCTACTGGACCAGTTTAGTTTTAAGTGTTGTTCCCATCAGTCACTCAGACACAAACACATGGGAAACTATGGTCCACGTTTGAGAGTGACCCTTTAAGCCTGCAGGTGATGACAGCCAGGTGTGTGTCCACAGGTGGAGTGTGTGTGTGTACTCACCATTGAGTCCATTGGGGATGCTCCTGTGATGGTGCGGTGCTGACAGGTCATCCATGGACCTCCTCATGGTGGTGCCCAGCTTACTGTTCTCCGAGGCGGGCTTGTGTATGTGGTTGTGGTTGTGGTGATCTGGACTTCCGGCGCTACCTGTGCTGGACGTGCTACTCCCGTCCCCAACATCCCTGACGGTGCCGGTGCCCCCGTTCAGGTTGGTTAAACTGGACTGACTGTCTATGGAGCTCCTGGACCCGGCTCCGTTCCTCTCCTCGTCCAGCATGAGGATGATCTCCTTGAGCTCAGAGTTCTCCCTCAGCACGGTGTCCTGGTTGGCCTCCAGCTCCTTCAGCTTCATCATGTAGGTGCCCACCTCCTTCCACATGGCGCTGGCGGTGTAGCGGCCGAAGCGCTGCCACTCCCGGGACAGCTTCTTGCCCTTCTGTCGGTCATCGTCCAGGAAGCAGCAGAGCTCCCGCAGCTCGTGGTTGTCGTCCTGCAGCTTCTGGTTGATCTCCTTCAGGCTCCGGATCTCGTGCAGGTGCACCTGCAGCCGCCGGTTGATGTCTTTCATCATGTTTCCGTGCTCGATCATCAAGTTCATCTTCTCGCTGTCGACCCTCCTCAGTCTCCGGATCAGCTCCTCTTTGCTGCACCGCAGCATCTCCTCGTCCGTCAGCTGGCTCACATCCTCCTTCGCTCCCTCGGACGGATTCTTCGCCATGGCTGAGTCGCCTGTCAGGATCAGCTCGTGTGAACGGTGTCTTCAGATCAACTGTCACAACTAACCTATCCAAGCCTGAGCTGCGGGATGGTGTTGAAACACATCGTCCACAATATGAAAGTCTGTGCGCGCGCTCCGCTTCAACAGGCCGGTGATGAAAAAGAAAATATTAATGTGATGCTATGGCAACAACCCGAGCATGAACCGCCTGCCCTCACTAATCTGTTACAGCACAACCCCGCATGAATTTCACAAACAACTGCACATACTCACATTTCACCAATAACACGCGCGCATGATTTTAAATATCGATCCCCGGTGATTATCAATCAGGTCCCGTCAACACAACACAGCGCGTCCCATCGCAATGTGCACCGTCTCCACCGGACATCGCTCCATTCACACGCCTCAATGAAACCCAGTAAATTTAAATATCACGTCACATGAACCAAAGTGGAGAGAAAATGTGCGTAAACACGACACCGTCACTTTTCACCGGCGGCTCTGTGGACGCGTCTCCCCGTCAGCAGCGCTCCTCGGTCGGGTCTAAGCTTCTTTACTGTGTCGGTGTGTCGGTGGACGGAGCCCCCCCTCCTTCCTGTCCAAACACAAGGGTTTGAAATCATTCAAGGGGATTTCGGTCAGACGGCCAATCAGTACCGGGGACCGGAGCGGGCAGCAGGTAGATGAAGAGTGCGGTGAAGCCTCACGAGACTCAGGCTCAGCCCTCTTAAAGAGACAGTACATGAGATCAGAACAACACAGTGAGTTAGGGACTGTTCTCTACTTGTCAGAGGAGGAGGTGACAATAGGTTTATATTATGTATATATACATATATATAATTGGTGTCTGTCAGTTTCTTGTTGCTCTGTATGATTTAAAGGGAGCTGACAAATACAATTAATGTTAAAAAGGCAGGTGTAATGAGCTTTTTAGTCCATTTTTTTAATGCTAAAATTTGACTTAATGTTAATGTAGTGTGTATCTACCAGTATGTTTGTGTTTAATAAGTTGGAAAATGACCAAAAAACTAAACTTCCTTTTTTGTTTTTGAGATACAAATAATTTTCCTTGAGCCTCCCTGAGTGACTGAGAGAAATACATGACCCTCCCTCCACCATAAATTAGTTATTCGTTTTTTAAAATCCACTGTTTGATGTTTGAACGTTTTATTTTTGGCAAAATTTTATGAGATGTGTCAAATATAGTGATTTTAAGCTTAGATTTGGTTCTGTTTTTCTAAAGGAGGCATTTGTTGGCATTGGAAATTTAAAAAAAAATCCAATTATAATTCTTGTTTTTGTAGTTTCTAGCTGTGTTAAATAGTGTAATTTTGGAGGGTTTGCCTTGGTCAGTTTACTTTAAAAATCAGCAGTACAATAAATACAAAATACAGTCATTAAAAGTTTTAAGGCCCTCCCCTAAGCCAAATAAAAGAGCATTAGACTGTGGTTTAGGGACTGTTCTTTACTTATCAGAGGAGGGGGTGTGACTTCCTTGTTTTTTTTACCCTCCCCAAAGATACAAATATTTTTCCTTGAGCCTCCCTGAGTGATAAATCCACGAGCCTCCCTCCATTATAAATTACTTATTAGTATTTTTTAAAACTAAATTTTTAATGTTTAAAAGTTAAAAGTTTAAGATAAAATCCTGAAGTTGGAAAAAAAGCCTCCATTTTTCACTCTTGTCGTGCACGCTGGTTAGTTCGTGAAAACTCTTTATTTTTGGCCAAATCTTATATGAAATATGACAAATAAAGTGAGTTTAAGCTCAGATTTGGTTTTGTCTCTATCCTTATGAAGTATTTGTCACACATGATGTGTTCAGGACCATCACACATTTAAAAACTCAATGATAATTTCTGTTTTTACAGTTTCTGGCTGTGATAAATGTGTAATTGTGGCAGGTTTGCCCTGGCATGTCTTTTTTTTTAAGAGTATTTTTTGGGGGGCTTTTATTGCCTGTATTACAGCGCAGCTAGAGAGTGACAGGAAACAGGGAAAGACAATGGGGATGACATCTAGCCAGGTGCTGCAGTCTGTAATCGAACCCATGCCACTGCAAAGGACTCAACCTACATGGGGCAGACACTCTACCTTGCTGAGCTAAAGGCTGCCCCAGCATGTTGAAATTAAAAATCGGCATAAAATAAATACAAAATACAACCATTAAAAGTTATATGGCACTCAATTAATCCAAACTAAAAAGCATAAGTCCCTCTCCATTGCTTAAAAAACTTGTTTGACATGCCTCCCCCCTTTTGCTCCACTCCCTCCCTCATAAGTAATGAACGGTCCCTAATAAAATCATAGATGGATAGATACACACGCACAGTGGTTGAATGTAACTAAGTAACTGAGTACATTTACTCTAGTACTGTACTTAGTCCTCTGGGGACAAATTTAAGCAGTATTTTGAGGTAGTTGTTTTGCTACTTTATACTGCACGACATTTTGGAAGCCACTATCATACTTTTTACTTCTTACATTTATTTCACAACATCACTCACTAAATTTAAGACACATTTAAAACTTTATTGATCCCGTTATATTAAGAAGCTACCCAGCAGCACTAGTTATTATGTCATCATAAACATGTGGGTGCCAGTGTACTTAATGAAGAATATTTTGACATTTATTTAAATTAAGAGCACTGAGGTCCTTTCTTTCCCCAGATAGTTCAGTGTGTTCCAGGGTCCCCACACATTTCCATGGAGAAAATTTCCAAACTTTTCCGGGAATTTTAAGAATTGACAAGCACCTCTATCGTAACAGAAAGAGCCCATCAAGAGCTTGTATTTGATATAAGTAAGTAATTTTCGCCCAAACGCTCACCTACATCTCTCTGGTTCTCACTCCATATTCACTATAAATAAAAATAAACTCCTGAAATAAAACTCAGAGGAGTGACATCTTTCAAGCCAGTTAATTCTCTAGTAAACAGGTCCATTTAGGATTTCTTAGCAGGCTCACAGCGCCCCCCTGTGTGCACTGTCAGTAACAGCACAAAACAAAAACATCACTGCACAGTAAACTGAGCTGAAACTAAAATCAAATTATCAGGCATAAAATCAATCATCAGTTTATTAAAGTGCAAACAAAAAAATAATAAGTTATTTCTCCATTTGTAAAAAACGTTTAATATTCCTCTGTGGTTTATTTTAATTCGTGTAAAAATGATAAATGTTGAATCCTTATATCCGTGTTAAAGACACAAAACAAGTTGAGAAGCTCAGTGTTATGGAGGAGCAGTTAAACAGTGGTAAACAGGGTCCAAACACATCTTCATGGACATTTCAAAACTTTTCCATGACTTTGAAGGACCCATGATGATTAAAAAATAAGATAAAATAAAACTGAATTTAAAAAATATATATATAAAAAAAATATTTTAACTTTTAAACTCTGAGCGAGTTGGTGTGATGTCTTTCAAAAACGTTATTTGCTCAAACATAAATTCAGTGACCTGACACATAAAAAGGGAGAGACTGTACTCGAGGAGAAAATGAAGAAACATATGTGATGGTAAGAGCTACTGGAAATAAATTTCCCGTTATGTTATGTTATGTGGTCTGGTATCCCTGGAAGGTTACAGCGACAATTTACACACAAGAAAAACCCATGACTTCTCCAAAACTTTCAATGATTTTTATTAATTCCATGATTTTTGAAGGGAAAATGTGATTAAGATATTCCATGACTTTTCCAGGTTAAGGGTTACTTCAAACAAGATTAAACTGCTGATTATACTGTGATCAACCACATCTTCATTATTATTCTTGTTAGGTTAAAACAATCATCATCATGTGACTTCGCTGTTTCTATCATTAAAACAAAGACTGCTGATACTACTGTCTTTACACAGACTAAAAGAAACTGAGCAGAGAAAGAGGCTTGTGTTTGAAGCAGGAGAACAAAGCTGCGAGCAGTAAGTCAGGGTGTTTTCGCACTTGGCAGAGTGGTGACTCGGCATTTTTTGAACACTCCAAGAGAATTCAGACCGATCTGAAAAGAACCCAACTGTTCGGTTCACTTAACCTGTGCCGTGTGAACACAAAGCGCTCCAGGTTCACTTTGGCCGTTGTATTCAGCCCTCTAGATCACCTGCTGTTGACCTGGGTCGTTGAAAAAACAGATGAAAACACGTCCGCCTGTAACGCTTGCAAGGACGCAGGACGAGGAGTAGTTTGGTCCACGGAAGATACTGCACGTCTCCAGATGTGGAATGTAAAATACTTCCCTCTACAGCACAGTAACACTGAGGTTTTCCTTCAATTTTAAGTGCATCTGAAAACGAGGGGCTTCATAACCGCACTGCAGTGTATCATCAAAGTAATAAACACAAACTACATCAATATATATTATATATACAGTATCTCACATAAGTGAGTACACCCCTCCCATTTTTGGAAATATTTCATTATATCTTTTCACGGGACAACACTATAGAAATGACACTTTGATATAACTTAAAGTAGTCAGTGTACAGCTTGTATAGTAGTATAGATTTACCTTCCTCTGAAAATTACTCAAAACAGCCATCAACATCTAAACAGCTGGCAACATAAGTGAATACACCCCACAGTGAACATGTCCAAATTGTGCCTAAAGTGTCAATATTTTGTGTGCCAACCATTATTATCTAGCACTGCCTTAACCCTTTTGGGCATGGAATTCACCAGAGCTCACAGGTTGCTTCAGGAATCCTCTCCCACTCCTCCATGATGACATCATGGAGCAGATGGATGTGAAGACACCTTGTGCTCCTCCACCTTCAGCTTGAGGATGGCCCACAGGTGCACAGGTGAGTTTAGGGCTGGATACATACTTGGCCAGTCCATCACATTCACCTTCAGCTTCCTCAGCAAGGCAGTTGTCATCTACTAGGTGTGTTTTGGGTCATTATCATGTTGGAAAACTTGATAATGAAAACTTGTAGCCCGGTTTCTGAAGAGGGGCGATCATGCTCTGCTTGGAATTCATGTTTCCCTAAATGAACCGAGCTCCCCAGAGCTGGCAGCACTCATGAAGCCCCAAACCATGATGCTGCCACCACTATACTTGACTGTAGGCAAGGGACAGTTGTCTTGGTGCTCTCTCAGCATGTGTGGCACCTTGGTGAAGATAATGTTTGGATAATGACCCAAAACACACCTAGTAGATGACAACTGCCTTGCTGAGGAAGCTGAAGGTGAATGTGATGGACTGGCCAAGTATGTATCCAGCCCTAAACTCACCTGTGCACCTGTGGGCCATCCTCAAGCTGAAGGTGGAGGAGCGCAAGGTGTCTTCACATCCATCTGCTCCATGATGTCATCATGGAGGAGTGGGAGAGGATTCCTGAAGCAACCTGTGAGCTCTGGTGAATTCCATGCCCAAAAGGGTTAAGGCAGTGCTAGATAATAATGGTTGACACACAAAATATTGACACTTTAGGCACAATTTGGACATGTTCACTGTGGGGTGTAATCACTTATGTTGACAGCTGTTTAGATGTTGATGGCTGTTTTGAGTAATTTTCAGAGGAAGGTAAATCTATACTACTATACAAGCTGTACACTGACTACTTTAAGTTATATCAAAGTGTCATTTCTATAGTGTTGTCCCATGAAAAGATATAATGAAATATTTCCAAAAATTGGAGGGGTGTACTCACTTATGTGAGATACTGTAGGTTATAATGTGAACAGAAAGAGGACTGAGGCCCCATTAGAGCTGAAGTTGACCAGAAAGAGAATTGAGTCCTTTTTTAAATGAACTGACAGAAGAACACAAAACAAACTAAGTCCCTTTTCTGTTGGTCCACTTTTTGGTGCACTTTAAGAGGACTGAGTTCGGTTAATTTAAAAAGGACCAAGTGTGAAAACACCCTTAGTCTAAGTAACCCAATTTCACCAAATTGACTTTTATGGTTTCTTCTTATGTTTTATGATCCTGTACGATCATTTATTTCTTGTGATTCCTGTGTCTGACGGTGCACACCACCCCGCTCTTCGGCCTGAGCGTGCCAGTGTCCTCGATGTCAAAGGTCTGTCCCGGCACCAGACTGAAGTCAAACCTCTGGAGCAGCTTGGCCATCACCACTTTAGCCTCCATCTGTGATCACCCACCACCCACTGAGTTAATTCCACGTGTTGTTATGTTTGTGTGTTTGTTTACTGTTTGTGACTGTCACCACCCACCTGAGCGAAGTTCTGTCCCAGGCATGAGCGTGGGCCGAGGGCGAAGGGGTAGTAGCAAAAATAAGGCCTTGAAAAACAGAGAAGACACTAAATGCATGATTTTCTTTTCTTTATCTGGGACAATGGTTTGTGTTTTAACATGTTAACACTAAAAATAACATGTCATTATATAAAATTTGGATGCTTCTTACTTAGGAGCATCTGGGTGAAATCTGTCTGGATCAAATGTCAGCGGGTCCTTGAAGAATTTCTCCATCCTCCCAGTCACGTAGGAGGTGAACTGAATTACAGAATGATTTATTAGAACATTTACACAGCAGATTTTTTATGCATTATCAGTATTCTAAATACATATATATATATCTATATACCCACCATGCATGTGACTCCACCAGGAATGTGGATACCGTCAATGACAAAGTCTTTCAGTACCTCACGAGATGTTCCTGGAGCTGTCGGGTAAATTCTCAGAGTCTCTTTCAGCACCTGTGTGTGGGGGGGTGTCACATCTTGGGTCAATGGCTTTAAAAGGTAAAAAACTAGAGACTATCTAGAGATGGTATAACTGCAGCCGTGATACAGCGATCCAAATGAACGTGGGCCGGGGCATAAAGGGAAGGGGCAAAGGCACCTTCTTTACTTTTCACCTCCTATTCCAGCGCCCTTGAACAGACCACACCCATCTTTGAACTCTGCCTTCATTTCAATCTCAGCTACACACCTAAAGACATAAAAACTTGGATGAGCACCAATTTCCTGATGTTAAATTCAGACAAAACTGAAGTTATTGTTCTTGGCCCCAAACAACTCAAAGACTCTTTATCTGATGACATAGTTTCTCTAGATGGCATTGCTCAGGCCTCTAGCACTACCGTAAGAAACCTCGGAGTAACATTTGATCAAGATTTGTCTTTTAATTCTCATTTAAAACAAACCTCACGGACTGCATTTTTTCATCTGCGTAATATTGCGAAAATTAGGCCTATCCTGAGCCGAAAAGATGCAGAAAATTTGGTCCACGCTTTTGTTACCTCAAGGCTGGATTACTGTAACTCTCTATTATCAGGTAGCTCTAGTAAGTCCTTAAAAACTCTCCAGCTAATTCAGAATGCAGCAGCTCGTGTACTAACAGGAACTAAGAAACGAGATCATATTTCTCCTGTTTTAGCTTCTCTGTACTGGCTCCCACCAGAACACTGCGCTCTGAGAACGCAGGATTACTCGTGGTCCCTAAAGTCTCCAAAAGTAGATCAGGAGCCAGAGCCTTCAGCTATCAGGCTCCTCTCCTGTGGAATCATCTTCCTGTTACGGTCCGGGAGGCAGACACCGTCTCCACATTTAAGACTAGACTTAAGACTTTCCTCTTTGATAAAGCTTATAGTTAGGGCTGGCTCAGGCTTGCCTTGTACCAGCCCCTAGTTAGGCTGACTTAGGCCTAGTCTGCCAGAGGACCCCCTATAATACACCGGGCACCTTCTCTCCTTCTCTCTCTCTCTTGTATCCTATTACTGCATCTTGCTAACTCGGCCATTCTGGATGTCACAAACTCGGCTTCTTGTCCGGAGCCTTTGTGCTCCACTGTCTCTCCGGTTAACTCGTATTGCAGCAGTGCCTGGATAGTGTGACGTGTGTGGTTGTGCTGCTGCCGTGGTCCTGCCTGATGCCTCCTGCTGCTGCTGTTATCATTAGTCATACTTCTACTGTTATACACATATGATTATTGGATTTGGATAGCAGAAAGAAGCACCGCAAAGAACCCTGAAGCTGGGAAGCCGGAGCTTGTCAGCTCTCTGGCAACCAAAACTATCGCAGCAGTGCCAATAGTTCTGGCATCTTGTCCTTTTTCTTTTAGAAACAGCCTGGTATCACTGCTGTCTGTGACTCCCTCCATCCATCAATCCATCCATCCATTTTCATCCACTTATCCGGAGTCAGGTCACGGGGTCAGCAGGCTGAGCAAAGTACTCCAGAGGTCCCTTTCCCCAGCAACCCCTAGCTCCTCCTGGGGGATCCCAAGGCGTTCCCAGGCCAGATGACCTGTATGAACCACCTCAACAGGCCCCTTTTAATGCGGAGGAGCAGTTGCTTTACTCTGAGCTCCCGCCGCATGTCTGAACTCTTCAGCCACCCTACGGAGGAAACTCATTTCAGCCGCTTGTATCCCTGATCGCATTCTTTTGGGCACTACCCAAAGCTCATGACCATAGGTGAGGGTTGGGACATAGATGGACCAGCAAATTGAAAGCTTTGCCTTCTGGCTTAGCTCCCTCTTCACCACGGCAGTCCACTGCTGACTACGTGCCCAATTGCCTGTCCATGTCACGCTCCATTTTACCCTCACTTGTGAACAAGGCCTTGAGATACTTGAACTCCTTTGCTTGGAGCAGTAACTCTCTCCCAACTCACAGGGGGCAATCCACCTGTTTCCAGCAGAAAACCATGACCTCAGACTGGGAGGTACTGACTGTCATCTCGACTGCTTCACCCTCCACTGCTGATCGGACGATACAACCGTAAAAGTAAATCATCAATCTTTGACCTAGTGTGTCTGGTACCAGTAACGCTTAAGAACATGGTGTTCATTATGGCTATTCCATGACTAGCACAACAGTCTAATAACATGACACCACTCCAGTTTATCAGGCAGGCTGTTCCTCCCAATCACCCCTCCTTCAGGTTTCTTCATCGTTGCCCACATGAGCATTGAAGTCCCCCAATCATAAGGGTACAAACCGAGTCCCTGGGCAGTACCCTTTACAGGTTTTTGCTGTTTCTGATTATGTCTTTTGAATTACATACTTACACATATATACATATTTGTTGGTTGTGTCAAAACAGAGAGTGAGAGAGACGAGCAGAAACACAAACACACAAGCAAACAGACAGACGAAGACTTAACTCCTTGTGAGAATAGAAAAGAACACAGGAGCAAATTTGCTAGTTGACTGCAGCTTGAGAAAAGCAACTTTAGAAAGAGTAAAGTACCAATAAAAGCTTGGGTACTGGTATCAAATTCCTGGTAACACCACAGGTATCGATTCAAAGGTGATCAGTACCCAACCCTTATGATAAGTACCTGTGATAGGTAGACCAATTTCCCCAGATCGTCATAACTGATGTCCTGTTTCATTCCAATGACATCATCCACCTCGTTCTTCACTCTGAGAAATAAAAACACAACTGAAGAAACCATCTTTTAAAAAGCTACATAATGAAACTGCTTTGCACTGAATTATTGGTTCTTACTTCTCCAGTATTTCAGGATGTCTTGAAAGTTCCATGATGCAAAAGGCCAGTTGGTTAGCTGTTGTTTCTTGCCCTTAAATGTTAGAACATTAACTTCAAATGTGGATCAACTACATGCAACACACAGTGATTGTATTCTTTATACCAGAAGTGGAGCTTTAAATAAAACTTCAGCTAAAAACACAGTAAATGTAGGACTTCAATATTAATGTTGTTTACAGAAGAGTATACGGATTATTTCTATTGAGTATTTTACTCCAAAATCTCATGAATTCACTACCACACTGGTGGATAGTTTACATTCTGGGTAACATTGTTAGCCTGACTTTGTTTTTGGAGCATTTCACACATCAAAACAGAAACGACACAAACCAACCTGCAATGAAAAATGTCACAAAATTGTCCAACATCAACTCTTCATCTTCTTCCGTCATGGTTTCCTCTGAAATAATGAAAAAAACAAAGCAGATTTGAAGAAGTAAATCAGTATTCCAGTCATCTTACCATATAATAATTAAAAAATATAATACCCATGTGTCCTTGTTTACATGATGTAACAGTAGTGCCTATTTAACCGATTCAGTGTGGACAGAGAGTGACGCATGCTTGCTGTAAGGACATGTTGTAATATCCATATTAAGCCCACATTTCCCGATTTAACTAGAATTACCACCCAGCAGTCGTATGCCTCCGTGCACCAGTCAAGTTTTTCTTTCTTTGTTTACATCCATGTCGGTGAAAACATGGATGCTTCACACACAGACGATGTATACAATCAGCACAGTTTCAAGGTGGACACCTAAGAATAATGTCACCAATTCAGTATCTGACCAAATGTCTCCCCTCTGTTCCTGAGATATGACGCTGAATAATGGCCAGAAAAGTGTTTTATGCAGAACATTATGATGTCACAGTGATGCTGTCCTTTGACCTTTCGGTTATAAAATGTCATCACTTCATTAGTTTATCCTATTAGACATTTGTGTGAAGTTTTGTCATTATCAGCATATTATTGTGTTATGGCCAAAAAACATATTTTGTGAGGTCACACTGACCTTGACCTTTGACCTCCAACCACAAAATTCTCATCAGATTATGCTTCAGTCCATATCGATGTTTGTGCCAATTGTAAAGAAATTCCCTTAAGGTGCTCTTGACATATCATGTTCACGAGAAAAAGACAGATACACAGTCATAGCCTTGACCTTTGACCACCGAAATCCAATCAGTTCATCTTTGAGTACTAGGGAACATTTGTGCCACATCTGAAGAAATTTCCTCAAGGTGCTCTAAGGATATTATGTTCACAAGAAGGAAATGGAAAAGGTCACAGTGACCTTTGACCACAAAAACTAATCAGTTCATCGTTGAGTCCAAGGGAACGTTTGTGCCACATTTGAAGAACGTCCCTCGAGCTTTTCTAGAAATATCGTTCAGAAGAAGGCGATGGATGCATGGCGACCTTGACCTTTGACCACCAGCATCTAATCAGTTCATCCTCGAGTCAAAGTGAACGTTTGTGCCAAATGTGAAATTAGTAATTCCTTTACTTTTGAGAGAAGTAACCAGCAGCTGATTACTAATTTTCAGTAACTTACATGATGCTGATTACAACACAGGGATGTTTAAACTTTCCTCTCATCTAATCTGAACTTTAGGGACCGTCACCTTTGCCAGCTGTTTTGATGATCTGTGTGAGGATGTCCTTGGGGACGTCTTCGCCGTTTTGCATGGCGGTCTTTCTGCTTTGAATCCACTGAGCTCCGGTTGTGCGCAGCAGGCGGCATGCATCCCTCACTTCCTTTATGAACGGTCGGTTCTTTGGGTTGTACTGGAAATGCAAAGTTTGAGGATCTCACACGGTTTATAATACTGTCACAAAACAAACTCCGTATAAACCTGCAGTGAAGTCATACCTTAAAAAAGCTGTTTGTGATGTAGTGCACCATCCCTTTCAAACACATTTCGATGGCTTTCGGGAAAACTGAACTATCCTTCAGCTGGTCCAAATCCACACCGAAAGCAACCTGAGAGTTAGAAAAAAAACAAGTTAGCTACAACTTGATTAGATGAACTTTTGTGACGTACACAAAAAACATTTCTGGATGAGGGCTACTGCAGTGGAAGCTGTAAAACAGACGATGGCACAATACCTTAGCAATAACATCAAGGGTAACAAAGTTGACCAGACGCAGCATGTGGGCCTCTGTTTTGCTATCAGCGATATCTGTAAGTTTAGTCATCAGTTTCTCTGCCCTCTCATTGAAGGTGCCCATTAGACCTCTCAAATACCTGGAAATAATGGGAGTTTTAGACAGTGGACGAGCACAGCCAGGACATACCTGCACAGCTCCACAAACATTATGCACATTACAGAGCAAAAGAAACCAAATCTGAACAGAATCTACGATTACAAACACTGGATATAAAATAAAGGTTGAGCACTCACAGGCTGCTGAATGCAGGGTCCATGATCCGACGCTGTTTATGCCACTGCTCATGGTCCTGAGCTGTTACCAGGCCGTTACCTAGGAACCTTAAAAAAAGACAAATGGAACACAATGCTTTCAAACTAGCCAAATAAAGATGTAAATTATCTGAAATAAAACAGTGAAGTGAACTAGCGCTGGGTGGTATAACGACTGTGTATGTGATATATCGATATATTTACAAGCAACATATAGACTTAGACACAGTTTATATCAATACAGTTGTGTTACATAACGCATACCAGTGTACATCTCTCCTCTCTCACACTTTGCACACAGCTCCGGCCCCGTCACTCACTCACTCACTCATTCACTCATTTACAAGTTCTCCATCAACACTCAGAGACACAGAGCTGCTCCTCTGTTTAATCTGTTTGTTCATTAGTCCTCAGTGTGACATCGGTCTGATAGTCTGATGAAGAACCTTTGACCAAACAGGTAGAAGAGTCTCTTGTAGAGGAATCTATCTTTGGGATACTTTGGGGACATCAGGACCTCCTGAAACAAAACAACAAAAGAGGGAACATTTAAAAAAAAAATTATTTTTCAAGGATTTCTACCACAGCAGGACAATCTGTGTTTCTGTGCACTTTCACAGTTTATCGTGCAATGCTTATGTAACTAATGATTACACATATACTACTGTGGCACATGGTGTTTACCTTGGTTGTCTCTGGGCAGGTCACACTAAGCATAACGTAATGCAGAATATTAACCCTGTAAACAGGTCCGTAACTCTCAGACCTGTAAATAAAAATGTCATTATGGGTTTGAAGTGCAAATACAGTAAGACATCTTAATGCCTGGTTCAGAATACACAACATTTCTGTCTGTTGCTACAGTCACTTTGTCAGATTAGGTGATTGTGGAGTCAGGAGCTACATTTGAAGCACCAAACACAAATTATGCAAGTCACTGTATTTATTCCTTTATCACCTGCACCTGGTTTATCGTCCACAGAACAAGGCTGCACACCGCCATTTTCATAAGAAAACAAAACAAGCTGCAGTGAGAGTCTCTCTCCATGGGATATTTGAAAAATAGCAGCTTTGTGCATTTAGTCCTTCTCAGGCAAGCTCGGGAGTTTAGTATTGCTGTAGCCCACAGGAACGACGCTCTGTGATGCTTTGTTTTTCTCAGAGTGAGGATTAGAATATTTGCAGTTCATATAACCAGGCTGAAATTTGCTTGAAGATCCACTCATTACTTAAAGTGTCTGTCGTATAAATACTAAAGTAAAGGTCAAAGTTGTCACAGTGAAATTTAAGGTTTGCTGATGGATTCACGTCATCAACTCATGCATTGAGTAACATTACAAGTAAATGTTCCACCTTAAAAGTCACCGGCAGTTTCTCAGACATTTAGATTTAACATTTAGATTTAGCATTTAGATTTAGCATTTAGATTTAACATTTAGATTTAGATTTAGCATTTAGATTTAACATTTAGATTTAGCATTTAGATTTAATATTTAGATTTAGATTTAGCATTTAGCATTTAGATTTAATATTTACATTTAGATTTAACATTTACATTTAATATTTAGATTTAACTATGTAATATATTTCTAAGTTAACAAATATTGCTGTAAATGTGGTAAAAAGTGACAAAATTCACAACATTTTTTTAAACATTGTTTGAAGCTAAATGTGGCAAAATGTTGATGTTATTTTCAGCGTGAGCCACTTTACAAATGGCACCCCATAATTAGGCCTACTGAACTGTACTGCTCAGTGGAAACAGGGCTTTAGGTGTGCGGTGTGCAGATTGGACCCTTTGGTGGGCCGTGACGGTGTTTGCGACAATGTTTGTCCTCAGTTGACCTTATTTTTTCCATGTCATGTTAAATAGCCTATTTGCATGTCCTTTCCCACATATACATTAAATATCTTACCACTCCAGCAACTTGTCGTGTACAAGCCCGCCATTTCTCATGACCCTCATAAACGTAGGTGAATGTCCGAAGAGAAAACTGTAGAAAGAAAAGCAAAGTGCGACACAAGAGTTTAAACTAACGTCAGGAGACGAGCCATAGAAATACAATGAGACAACTGTCACCCGCTCCACTCACCTGTCTCTCGGCGGCCCGGGTATGTGGTCATATTTCATATGCTGGTGTTTCACGTACAGGCAGTAACCGAGGAACGATATAAAAACCAGAGTGAGGAGGAACACAACGATCCAGCTCAGAATGACAGAGAAAACTGCCATTTTCCAGCTCCCACAGATTGAAGCGTTAATGTCCGGTATAACTAGTCCAAAGTGCTCCGGTAGCCTACAATAACTCTGTCAACATGTCGGCGTTACCTCTGACACAGAGCACACCTTAAACACGTTACAGTACGTTAACCCTGTATTCAGAAGAACAGGCTCAATGACTCAGCACATTTTTTAACTGCTGTAAACAAAAACAACAACGACGCACTTTCAACGAGCCTCTCTGCTGAGGACGGAGGACTCGAGCCTGCAGGGGCGTTTTTAACATCTCAGGACAAAGGGGGGCTCAGCCCAGACCTCTATGTGAGGGTGGGGGGATTTTTTTTATTTTCTATTTTATTAACAATCCACCTTATTCCTGAGTGCACTACTATAGAAATGATTATGTGCACAACTTCCAGTGAGATAGCGGAAGTAGTAAGTTAGTCCCATAGACTGTCTGTGGTTAGTCCCACGTGGCTACTCTTGGTCCATGTTTACACGAAAAACGATCCACTGAAAATGGAATCTTTTTTCATTTTTCGTTTTGAAAAAAGTTCCGCGTTCAGACGACAACGTTTTGATATTAATCGCCGGTGCACATGTAACATAGTTGAAAGGGTTCATGTTGAAATTAATGGTTCAAGCCCGCTAAATGGGACAACAGTGCCATCTGCTGTTTTAATCGGTACCTGCAGTCAGTAGGTAGCAAAGGATTATGGGTAATCTTCAAAGAAACGGATGATCTGCATTGAGGTAATATATCTATGAATGTCTGTGGACAAAATAATATTAACTAGGTCATTCAGGTCATGCGTTGATCTTGACCATCATTGCCATGTTGATCCTAAGTAGAATCGCTGATATTGATCAAGGACCATCACTGCTATGTTGATGTCCACATAAACAAATTATCCAAAATCAGCATGTTGATGATGATGGTCCTGGATAAACCTAACTGAATCTATCAGGATCAACATGGAAAAAAGGAGGGAAAATGTGTTAATTGCAGGAATCTGCTTCTGAAAAATGCTATTATAATACTATTGTCTTCACTCTCCTGTTAGCATAGCCTACCTAGTTAGCAAGCTAACTTGCTAATACTCTTGTCTATGGGCAAGTTTACTCATTAGCATAGCCAACCTAGTTAGCAAGCTAACTTGTTAATACTCTTGTCTATTGGCAAGTTTACTCATTAGCATAGCCAACCTAGTCAGCAAGCTAACTTGTGAACCCTGCAGCAGGTTATAAGGTTTTTGCTAAGTGAGGATTTTGTTTAATTGTACTGACTTCAATTTGTAAAACTATCTTACTTTTCAAGAAGCACAAAGGGTGCCCCAAAAGAAAAATCCAAATGCCACAATGGTCCAGCGGATGCTTAAAGAGCTGGGGATGATTGACGTTTGGAGAGAGCTTCATCCACTGGACAAACAATTTACTTATTATTCTTCACGTCATTCTTTGTACTCAAGAATTGACTATTTACTTATGAACAAATCAGACATACATAGAATTAAGGAATGTAGGGATTAGGGTTGTATCCAACCATTCAGGAATATACCTAGCTTTACATTTAGCTAGCCAGCAGAAAAATACACTTTGGCGACTTAACACTGGTATTTTAAATGACAAAGCAGTACAGAAAGAGATACAGAAAGAATCTGAAACGTTTCTCCAAGATAATGATAATGAAGACTTGTCCCCAAATACCCTATGGGATGCAGCAAAGGCTGTGATCCGAGGCAGAATAATTGCTCTCACAGCCTCCAGGAAAAAAGAAAAACTGAAAAGATTATCTGTTTTACAAGAGGAAATGAAGACTTTGGAGATTAGACATGTTGACCAACAAGACCCACAAATTAAAACTAGATTAAATAAGGTTAAACAAGACATAAATGGGTTATATGATGAAATAGAAATAGAAAAAAAACAACAAAGGTATTATGAGACATGAGGTTAAGCAATGAAACTTCTAACCTGGAGAATAAGAAAACAACAGGAGAAGCATACAATTTATAAAATCAGGCATCCTATAACACAAAATATCTGCACAAAATTGGAAGACATTCAACAAGCCTTTGAACTATACTAGAAAGATTCATACACCCAACTGGCTAGTGCCGATACTTTAACAAAGGAGACATTTCTAAGTTCTTTGGACTTGCCATCCATAGGAGAACAACAGAATGTAGAATTATTGGCAGAGATAACAGCAGAGGAACTAGACAGAGCTCAGGGCTTGAAATTAACTTTTTTACATGGTAGCACTGGTGCTCCTAACTTCAAAAAGTTAGGAGCACAAGCAAAATTTTTGGAGCACTCACTGTAATGTAAGAAGCACCAACAGTGTAATTGATTTTTTTTTTTTTATTGCAACAAAAAGTCGACATTATACTGTATACATTACATTGTATGTGTATAGTACACTTATTGACAACTTTTTCAGTTAGAAAAAACACCACTGTGAATGAAAGAGAAACCTTACAAAGGCAGGCACATCATCAGAATCGGAGGGACAAGGAGCGGAGTGAAAACATTTCGTAAACAACCAACATGGCTACTGATTTCGAAAATACTATGGTAAATGTGTTGAACGAACTGGAATGTACATTTTCTTTAAAAGCAGAACAAACGGCTGCACTGAAAGCTTTTATTGAAATAAAGGATGTGTTTGCCGTCCTTCCTACAGGGTTTGGTAAGAGTTTAATTTACCAACTGGCTCTGTTGATCGGGAAAAAGATGGGACTCAGTGAAAACCCAGTGGCTATTGTTGTTTCTCCGCTAGTTGCTCTCATGGAGGAGCAGGTCAGAGAAGTGACCAAGCTGGGAATCACAGCCATGCAACTCAGAGTCCACAGTGAGGAGGAAATCTGCAAAGACGGCAACACTCTTTCCCAGACATCATCACAGCTCATCTCTGCTGCACACTGCACTTGCTTGCTGGTCTGTTTACAGTGGCGTTGTGCTAACCTACGTCACACGTTTTGTTTACTCTGATTGGTTTTCCGTCTTTCCAATCGCCTGTAGGGGCACTTTGAGTGACAGCCGTTGATACCGCCCCTTGGGAATAGAAGAAATGTACACTCCATGTCCAGACCCATACGCGTTTTGCGAATTGGGTCTGGCAATGCCAGGCTAGTTTAGTGGTGGTTCAGTGGTGTTTTTTCTAAAAAAGTCTTTCAGTGTTTTCTTCATTGTCTCTTCTCTCCGGCATGAATTAGCTTCGGCTTCTAGTTCAGAGTGACAGAAGTGCCGTGGTTGCGGAGTGATTTGAGGCTAATAACCAATCTAAAATCAGCATTAAAGGTCAAGCTCACGTTTGATTGGTCACTGTCAGCTCACAAGGTAGAGAGAAGCCTGGGAACTTTATCAGTGTAGCCTACTAACCTGAGGGGGGGTGAATGAGACGTTCGAGTTGGGGGAAAAATAGTCACACCAAGAGAATTATTTACACTCGCACCAGTGCTCCCAATATTTTGAGGTTGCACAGATGAAATTTTGGTCGCAAAAGTTATTGGCCCTATTACTTATTATTTCAAAATTAAATCTTGATTTTTTAAAAATTCAATTAAGTCTTTAATCGCAACTATATTGACATCCACCTCTGACTACAGTGTGATTCACGGCTTAATAACCTTATAGTTCATGCAAAAAAATCTAGTAATATAGGTCGGGTGATTGTAGTTAAAAAGATACTTTTCAAAGTTTTCTGCAAAGTCAAAGCACCCCGTGTACATTGTCAGTACCAAAAACAAAATCACTGCACAGCAAAGTGACCGAAAAATAAAATCAGACTGTCTCATATTAAAATAACCATCAGTTTATTAAAGTGCAAAAGTTACACAGATAAAACAGGTTATTTCCAGCAAGTTAAAGTGGTAATGATACTGTAATCTACTCAAAAGTGTGTTTTACCATACCCTTACTGTTAGGTAACAAAAATCATCATTATAACTGCATGTGAATATACAGTCTATGTCTTCAAAACAAACACAGCTGATGCTATTTTCTTTACAAAGAGAACAAAAATGACAGTAAAGGTTATAAAACAACTCCTGTAGAGTTGTTAGGGTTTTGGCTGAGGCAGAAGAGCAAAGCTGCAGGCAGTTAGATATTTTAAGCGACCCAACAACCCAATTTCACCACATTGACTTTTATGGTTTCTTCTTATGTTTTATGATCCTGTACGATCATTTATTTCTTGTGATTCCTGTGTCTGACGGTGCACACCACCCCGCTCTTCGGCCTGAGCGTGCCAATGTCCTCGATGTCAAAGGTCTGTCCCGGCACCAGACTGAAGTCAAACCTCTGGAGCAGCTTGGCCATCACCACTTTCGCCTCCATCTGTGATCACCCACCACCCACCACCCACTGAGTTAATTCCACATGTTATGTTTGTGTGTTTGTTTACTGTTTGTGACTGTCACCACCCACCTGAGCAAAGTTCTGTCCCAGGCATGAGCGTGGGCCGAGGGCGAAGGGGTAGTAGCAGAAATAAGGCCTTGAAAAAGAGATTAGAGGACATTTTCCTTTTTTATCTGGGACAATGATTTGTGTTTTAACATGTTAATACGAAAAATAAAACATGTCACGATGTGAAAACTGGATGCTTCTTACTTGGGAGCATCTGGGTGAAATCTGTCTGGATCAAATGTCAGCGGGTCCTTGAAGAATTTATCCATCCTCCCAGTCACGTAGCTGTTAAACTGAATTTCAGAAAAAAATATTGAACATTTAGACAGCAGATAATTTTTCATGCTTCATCAGTATCACATATTTATATAGATCAGTAACAAACTATAAAACCTGTTAGGGTTCTGACACCAGTTGTTGCTTTAGAGGTACTCACAAAACACGTGACTCCGACGGGTATGAGGATACCGTCAATGACAATGTCTTTGAATAGATCACGAGTTGTGCCTGGAGCTGTCGGGTAGATCCTCAGAGTCTCTTTCAGCACCTGTGGGGAGGTCACAGTGTGATGTGCACATCTTGAGTCAACTGACCTTTCGCTAAGCCCCGCCCCTTTGTGATGGTCTCACAAGCTGTCAGAGTAAGCATGGAGCCCACAGTGTAACTAACTGCACTCCCTGAAGAAATATTATCATATTTTTGGAGAAATGAAAGAGTGATTCCAGAAAGAAGCAGACAGAGGGGTCTACAGTTTGTGTTTGAAGGATATATCCAGGATGTCAAACTGACTCAGCAGCAACAACAGGTTAAAAAGACAAAGATAGTTAGAAGCTAAAGCCGAACTATAG